CACTGTCCAGCGGACCAAGGCTCAGAGAGGTGCCGGCCCTGGGCAAAAGTCCAGCCAGTCAACAGCAGAGCCTGTAGCTCTGTCCTACCCACCATCTTCTCCCCAGCTCCCTCCCCCTCCTCTCAGAGTCTGGCCCTTTCCAAAAAAAAAAAAAAAAATCTACAATTTGAGCTGCTGCCTGTCCTCCTCCTCCAGTCCTCTCAGCAGCAGCCTTCCTGAAAGGCTGCCCAGGGTGGATGGCCTCAGAGCTGGATTCTCTGGGGTGAAGGCTCCCTGCCCTGAAGGAGACAACCCTTCAGCCACTTTATTGTTTTTCATGACCCTTTCTCATAATGATATGAGCATATTTTATGATATAAATATTAATATTCCCTGGTGGCTCAGACAGTAAAGAACCCACCTGCAGTGCGGGAGACCTGGGTTCAGTCCCTGGCTTGGGAAGATCCCCTGGAGGAGGGCATGGCAACCTACTCCAGTATTCTTGCCAGGAGAATCCCATGGACAGAGGAGCCTGACAGGCTTCGGTCCATGGGATCGCAAAGAATTGGAGAGGCTAAACACACACACATTTTAATGCAGAATACACATGTAGCATACATGGGGACTTCCCTGGTGGCTCAGTGGTAAAGAATCCGCCTGCAATGCAAGAGGTGTGAGTTCGATCCTTGGGTCGGGAAGATCCCCTGGAACAGGAAATGGCAACCCACTCCAGTGTTCTTGCCTGCGAAATCCCATGGACAGAGGAGCCTGGCAGGCTATAATCCATGAGGTTGCAAGAGTTGGGCACTCCACCACCATATAGCATATATATTAATAATAAAACTTACATATGTGTAAATGTAAGTTTACACATTTACATCTGAAATAAGGATGCAGACAAGCCCTAGTTTAATTAGTAGTATTTGCTTTCTTATTCTTGCACATAGAACAACTGATGGTATATCTGATATGGTGAAGCACAATGCCCCTCCCCTTCAGGTTGTGAAATGGAACAATCAGAACAACCTCCGTTCATAGTAGAGGAAACTGAGGCAAAGTGAGGGACAGGAATGTTCCTCCTGGAGTTCCAGGGCATGAAGCATGGAACAGGTTTCCCCATGGGTCCCTCTGGAGTGGGGGTGTGGAAGCCAGGAGAAATCATTAGCTTCTGGCTGACACTCCTCTTTGTTATTCACTGGACTAGGGCTCCTGGGAGAGACTCTGAGAACAAAGGGAAGGACCACCTCCCAGGGAGGTAGAGGGGGCTGAGGCAAGTTTCAAGTTAGGAAAGTGTCTGCCTGTGGGGAGGTAGGCGGTGGGACCAGTGGGTTTCCCGAGGGAGGGTCTGAGAGCTCAGGGGAACCTGAGTCCTTAAGATCAAGGCACTGGCAGTCCTCTGGTAGCGGCTGAAAGCCCTCCTGCAAGCTGCCTATGCCTGGAGGCAAGTCATAGACAGTCCTTAGCTCCCCCAGGGACCTCCCCCCCAACCCGCCCCAGGAGAACCATCTGGGACAGGACCTCCATGGACCAGGCTCTGACTTGGGCAAGCCTTAAATGTGAGGACTGGATATTTCACAAACGGAAAATGTGAGGCCCAGAGAGGGGAAGGGACTTGCCAAAGGCCCTGGACGAGGGGTGATCAGGACTTATTCTTGAGCATAACAGTACCAGCTCGCATGGATGGAGCACCACCTACGTGCCAGGCGTGTGCCAAGCACTTTACGCATGATTCTAAGAGACCACTGTTATTACTCCCACTTCACAGAAGAAACAGATGAGGCTCAGAGAGTTTTAAGCAATTTACTCCAGATCACGGTAGGTGGTGGAAGAATTTGGGAAGGAGAACCGCAGACCCAAGCTCCTTCCACAGCAAGTGGACCTCTTAGAAGGTTTTTCAGAGCATCTATGTCCGCTACCTGCCACAGACGGGGGTGTCCTCACCCCTCTCCAGGCACGGGGACTCCCTGGGAATCAGACTTGCTCTCAGAAGCTCTCTGGAGGGAGGGGAGACACATGCAGGCACCTCACTACCAGGAATGCAGACGAAGCGCCCTCCTAAACACCCTCCAGCAGCAGGAGCGGGGCGCCCAACAAGGGATCATTCTGACTCCCTCCCCCTGGCGGAAGGAGTATCTCCCAGAACCCAGACTCTGCAAGGCCCCAGGTTGTGTTTCTGTTTACCCAGCTCTGGGCCAAGGTAGGTCCAGACCTCCTGGCTTCCTCTCCCTGTTGCAGACAACCTGGCATGCACTCAGATGGGGGCTATTCGAGAGTGGCTGTCGATGGGTCCCAGGGAAGAAGAAGGGACCGCTGTCCACACAAGATGGGGAGGGGAGAGATATCTGTGGGCCCCAGGGGGGAAGTAGATTTCCAATTGAAACTGTCTTTTGAAAATGGGGCAAGACGGGGTGGCGAGAGGAGAGAGAGGTGTGATGTTAGGTCTGTCAGTCTGGGATAGGGACAAAAATGGGTTGGTCTTAGGTTGAAATTGGGACCGAGCTGGTCTGTTCCTCCGTGTGTGCTCCTCCTCCTGGGTTCCCCGAGAACAGGACAAGACTGTGCATGTCTACCAGAGAGAACGTTCTGCAGGGGTTCAGAGGCTGCCGGGACCCTCCGGGTCTGAGATAAGGCACAAAGCGTCCATGTAAATGGGGGGAGCGGAGGGCAGCCTTCGGTCTACCACAAAGCCACTGGTTTGTCCGATACGTGGCCGCACAGATGGTGAGGAATCGTGCGGGAGGTCTGTCCAGGAAGAGCGGCTTGTAGGAGCCGGCCGGTGGCGCCTGGTGCACATCTGTGCCCAGAACCTCCGCGGCTGGCAGAGTGCAGGCGTCAACTAGTGGTGGGTCCTGGGACTGCTCCTTGCCCAGCAGCCCCGGCGACCTCCGGCTGGGGACCCAAGCGTCCACAAACCCAGGTTGCCCAGTTCTGGCGCCCACCGGCAGCAAGCGCCTTTCTCTTGGGCTGGAGCCGTGCAGGCACTAGTGGCCAGGTGCCAGGACCCACAGGAGTCCTATCCTCAGGAAACCCATTTGTAAACCGGCTGTAGGACGAGAGGGAGAAATCAGGTGGAGAGACCAGGAAGGGCACGGCTGCAAACCAAAACCACTCAACAAATCGAATTTACAAACCCCAGATGCAGCGGCTCCTGACCCTAAAGCTGCTCCAGGGCAGCACGGAGTCACCCGCACTTTCTGGCCCGGGCCCTACCTGGACAAGACAAGGTGGGCCTTTGCAGCGGGAAGCTCCCAGAGGTCGGTCACCCCAACGCCCCTATTCCTCACTTTCCTCCAGTTTTGCAGCCGGTATCAGCGCTCCCAAGAGTGTGCGGGCCCCTCCCGGCAACTTGCAACTCCCACGTGCAGGCTCTATAAAAAGGTCCAGCGAGGGACCTTCGTTGTCCCCACTCTCTAAATGGTCTGAGGGGGACTGGTGTGAAGCTCTGACAGGGCTGGGGACCAGCTCTCCAGGTGGTCGAGGTGGGTCAGGGCCGGTCCATCCTAGACCCGATACAGGGCTTGATTTCGTTTGGCAAGGACGAAATGGCCCGCGATGGGTCAGATTCATGGAAAGATCTTGCTGCCGCCATCAGATCCTATGCATCTTCGCTGCCGAGGCTTCGAATAAGTCGTTTTGCACCTGTCCAAGGCCGGAAACAACGAATATCCAACCCGATCTCCAAAACCGCAGGCAGACTCTGCACGCGTTCGTTTCTCAGACTCCAGGGGGTCCATCTGGGGCGATAATCCAGAGCGAATGGGGGCTTGATCTTTCCAGTCCTCCTCTGTGTAGCCTGTCCCTAGGCCCGCTGTCCCGGCGTAAAAGGCTGGAGAGGAGATCCTTTGCCTGTTTTGCCTCCGGGAGCGGTTGGGCCACGCGGTCGGGGAGAGGGGAGAAGGGGAGAAGGAGCGAGGACCCCGGGCTGGCGAGCAGAAAGTGCCTCGGCAGAGCTGTCTGCATTCCTGCCGCAGGGCCAGAGCGCACTGCCCGGGAAGACGTGGGTGTGGACCCGCGTGGGCCAGTTTGCATCTACCGGGTGGATGAAAATTCCCTGCTTTGGAAGTCGGGGCCCTTAGCTTTTGAAGCCATTCCCGCGCCTTCTCTGCACGGTTTCCTTCTCATCAAGAACTCTGGTCCTCTCCTACGAAGCAGGACAGCGTTTAGATGCCCGCGGGGGGTTGGGGCCTGGGGGTTGGGGGAGAGATGGGGGGGAGTGGAAACGCTCGCGTTTTTCAGGCAGCGTCGTGGTTTTCAAAGAGCCATAGGCCGACGACGCAGCGAGGCCTGCGCGATCCTGAAAGTCATTTTTGGAGGGGAGAGCGGAGAGAAATGGTGTTACTCGCCCCCACGCCGATGCGGGCACGGAGGGGACCCCCTTCTCTCTGGCCCCGGGCCGGGAGGAAGGTTGCACGGGGCTCGGTGCTGCAGGGGCCTCTGCCTGGTGAGCGTCCTCTCGTGTGCGGTGGAGGTTCTGGGGTCAAAATAATTTGCGGGACAGATAGGGGCAGGGAGAAGGTATTCTGGGGCCGCTCCCCGCTCGGTGTCACCGGCCTTGAACGGGCCCCCCTCCCCCGGCAGTCCCCATCTGGGGATGGTGGGGGTGCAAGCATCACAGGCCGAAAGCAGCTGGAGCTGGGGAGGCCTGGCTGCCGGCGGCCGGGAAGGGCGCCCGAAGAAGCTGGGAGTGGGGGGGCAGCGGCTGGAAGGACTAGATGTTTTAAACAAATTCTCCAGCTCCCCAGAACTCTGGAGGAGCCCAGGGCTGTCGCGCAGGGAGTCGGGGGGGGGGGTAGCCCAGCCCGGACCCCGGGCGCCCTACCCGGGCGGAGCCTTCCGCCCCTCCCCGTTGGGCGGCCTTCGGAGGCCCCCGTTCCTCCCCGGCGAGCGCAGCCGAGGTGCCCGCGATGGGGGCTCCCATTGGCTGCGCGACGCGTCGCTCGGGCCGGCCCCGCCCTCGCGGGCCCCCGGGGGTACTAACCCCGCGCGGGCGGCGGCGGCGGCGCGGCCACTCGGTTCTCGAGGATTTTGTTCTGGGGCTGCGGCCGCCCAGTCGGTGGGGCGGCCACGAGCGGGCTGCGGGCGGCGGGCGGGCGGTGCGCCCCGCTTCAGCCTGAGCAAGGCCGCCGGGACCGCCGCGAGGATCCGCCGCACGCGGGCCGCGCTACACGCCCAAGATGCGGGACTAGCGGGCCGGGCCAGCACCGCCGCCCGCCCGGCGCCCTGACGGCCGCTGTTATGCGTATTCCTGTAGACCCGAGCACCAGCCGCCGCTTCACACCTCCCTCCACGGCCTTCCCCTGCGGCGGCGGCGGCGGCGGCGGCGGCGGCAAGATGGGCGAGAACAGCGGCGCGCTAACCGCGCAGGCGGCCGTGGGCCCCGGCGGGCGCGCCCGACCCGAGGTGCGCTCGATGGTGGACGTGCTGGCGGACCACGCGGGCGAGCTCGTGCGCACCGACAGCCCCAACTTCCTCTGCTCCGTACTGCCCTCGCACTGGCGCTGCAACAAGACGCTGCCCGTCGCCTTCAAGGTGAGTGCGGGGGAGGCCCCCCACCCCCGGGCGGGAGGACACCGGCCCGGCGGCCCCGGGCGTCTCCGCTGCAGGAGCCAAAGCCCCGGAAAAGGGAGGGGAAGGGAGGCACCCGAGAGACCCCCGCGGTGAGAGCCCGGCCGCCGGGCCCCCCGGAGCTTTTGCGCGCTCCACCCGGGGACTTGGGCGTACACTCTAGAATGCACCCGGCACGGATGACTTTTTAAGGGCTTTGCCACCTTCGGTCTTGGGGTGGTGGGGAGGGGGGGCCCTACGGAGAGACCGTTGATGCGGAAACGGGCGGATGGGGTTTCGCCCTTCCCCAACCCGGATCCCTCGGATACAGCCCTGAGGGCAGCGAGCGGGGCAGAGAGGAGCCCTGGGACCCGGTTGAGGACCCCGGAGGCGGGGTGCGGAGGGTGGGAGAGGGCCTACCCTCCCCTGCCCGCACCCCTCCTCCTGCACGGCTCTCAGAAAACACTTCCTGCTCACACCGTCAACCCCTGGCTTCTGAACTTTTACACCGGAGGCTCCAGGCCGGGATGGGGGGCCCTGAACCCTAAGCGATTGCTGGCCGAGATCCCGAATGTCAGACCGAGATTGGGGGGGGGGGGCGCTCCCACACCTGGCAGCCCCTGGTAGCCATCCCAAGGAGCTTTTTTCTATTTGCTGGGGAGTAGGCGACTGTTTCATTTTCATTTTTTTTAAGGGGGCAGCGAGATGAAACGAAAACGCCTTGGTTTTCCCCTAAACCTCTCACAGCTGCCGTGAGAAAGGGCAACGCAGGAAGGGCCAGCGGCTGGGGGTGGCGGGTGCCCGAGGTGACTGGAAACAGCGGCTCCTGGCAGCCGAGGCCGTCTTCGGTCCCATTAAGACGACTCCAAATTGGAAAAAGGGATGAGTGGCTCTTTGAGGTCTCCCGGGTGACATCTTAAAATACCAGTGGGGAAAATCTCCCGGGGAGGTGGGGGATGGGGAGGCCCGTGTGACTTTAATCCTCAGATTGGAGGTTTTACTGTCACTTGGAGCTTAAAAGGAATCTTTGAAATTAAAAGAAGACAGGATGTTGACAGGAAATCTGGCCTTTTTAATCAGACCCCAAACATTTTCTCCTTGAAATTTTTACCATCTGGATCCCCAGTCCCTGCACGCGGTGGCCACGTTTAAATGGCTGTGACTGCCTTTGCAGTCTGATTTCCTTTGCAAAAGGCATCTGCCTCTCCACGCTCCTTAGGGCCTGGGGTGGGGAAGACTGTATTGGGGGGGCATCTCCACCTTCATTTTGCAATTCCTCAGCAGGTGCATCCTCCTGCTATCAGAAGCCCCTCTCTCACTTTAAAGGGGGTTTCTGGGCAGCCCCTCTCAAAACAGCAGTTTGTTTTGCGTTTTGCATTTTCCCTGCATAACGAATTCAGGCTTTGCAGAGGCAGATAAACTGGGCCTGGGCTGCATTTTGGTGCCCCACTTCATACCCCAAAGGGCTCTTGCCTTAATTGAATGTGGGGGAGCAGTCCCGTTATTGTTGTTGTTGATATTATTTTCATTCAGAGACTCGGTTGCTAGGAGCGTGTTGATTCCTCTTTTGCTCAAGCCGAAGGGAAGAGAGGAACTGCACCCCAGAACACAGTGTCTGTGCTCATTCCCCGCTTTCACTTAGGTTTCATTGCATTTAAAGGATCAGTTCTTCAGGATGTGATTTAACCAGTTGATGTAGGATTTGGGTGTGGAAAGTAGAGATTTTTGCCTTCTGATTTTTGTGGTATTGGGGAGGCGCAAGTGCCTATTGTTTTTAAGCCTCTTCTCCACCCCCGCATTTGAAAAATCCGCATTGCGCCTGGGCCGCGTAGGGGAGCTGCTGCCCCGGCCCCCCCTTCTTTCGCTGGCCTCCCCTACCTGCCTAAGCTGTCCCCCCACCCCCATGCCCTCAGGTGGTGGCGCTGGGGGACGTGCCAGATGGAACGGTGGTGACAGTGATGGCGGGCAATGACGAGAACTACTCCGCTGAGCTGCGCAACGCCTCAGCCGTCATGAAGAACCAGGTGGCCAGGTTCAACGACCTCCGCTTCGTGGGCCGCAGTGGGCGAGGTGAGCGGAAGGGCGACTTTGGTGATGGCAGAGGCGCAGGGAAGTGAGCTGAGAACGAGGCTTTGGGGTCCTTGCGGAAGCCCTCGAAACAGGTCTCCAGGCCCAGCTCTGTCCAAAACAGCAGTTTGGAACCCCGTAAGGTGTTTCAGACCCTTTGGAGGAGATGGAGAAAGTTAGGGTCTTTGGCCAGAAAAGACACAGTTTTCTTCCCGTTTCTGGGGTTTACTAACTTGTGAAGCTTTCCCCATCTCCCCTCTTTCCGATAAGCTCCTCAGCCTCACAGGAGATGCTGGGGGAGCGCGGACCAACAAGCTCAAAATGGGGCCTCACGGGTCTTTACGGCGCGGCGCGTTGCTTAGAAGCTGGTTTTGACAAATCCTTGGTCTTTGGGGCCCTGAACACCCCAACCACTCTCTCCACTGGGGTGGAGTCTCCCCCACACTTTGAGGCTGCCTCTCCCCAGCTGTGGTCTTCCGAAGCCACAGTTTCGCCAGCCCCTTTGAACCTTAAGGTGGTTTAGAAAAGAAAAAACCGAACTCAGTGCAGGATGCTGGGTGCTGGAAAGCAGAGCTTGAAGGCTGCCATCTCCCACTCTAGAATCAAGGCTGGTGTGCCAGCCTGCCTATCTGATCTTCCTCGGGCATTATGAGGGAAGGCAGGACCAGACGCCGCTGTGGCTGCCACCAGGGGCTATTGAGTGGGAGGTGGCTGGGACCTGAAACCCCGCCACCACTTCTGAGTTGAGAAATCCTAGAACCCCGGCCGGGCGAAATGGAGACTTGAGGGCTTGCTGGCCCTTTAAGACCAGGCTGCCGAAAAAAGCGAAAAGTGGGGAGTGCCCTTCCCAGGCAACCAGCCGACCGCTCCAGTTTGTTAAGAAAGCTAGCTAGGTTCCCTCTGCTTCCAGTCCTCCAGAGAGGCTGAGGCAGAATTGTACTTTTCATCACCAATAAACAAGACCTTCTTAAGGTTTTAGTTCCCTGTGAGCCGCCAGCCCAGCTCGGAAACGGGCATCTGGGCACCATTTTTTTCCTCTCCAGCCGTTCAATGTATACATACAAATGTCAAACATATTTTGACTTTTCAGCATTAATTAAAACCAGGGCATTATTTGCATGTAATAACTGTTTACTTGTTACTTTTTTATGAAACTGAAATAGTTTACATTCTTTCAAACATTTCCTGTTCCTGTTGGCTCCCTTCCCCACGCACAGATTTCTTTCAAACGTTGCCCTTAACTGGTTGCAGGTTGATGGATGGAAAATGTTTGCTTTTATGAATTAAGCTTTCATTGCTGCTCCTAATTAGTCTCCAAGCCCCCTTTGTCATTCCCAATTTCTCAAGCCTTTTGCAACTTAATCCCAGCCCCGAGTGGAGAGCTGCTCACCACCGGTTGGCAGGGGGCTTGCTCGGATGCGGTTGGATCTTGGGCGGTGGCCGGGCCCACCAGTGGCAGTGGAGGGCACCTGGAGCTGCAGCTGAAGGGGCATTCTGTGCTGGGAGCCCAGCGACGCATCAGGAATGGGTTCCCCTACTCCCTCTCCTGGAAAGTGACGAGTTGGTTATTCTGTGTGTTCCTGAGACCTCACCTGGCCGTCCCGCCGCTGAAAATGATTTCTTGGTAGTATTTATACCCACAGACCTGCACCCACCCCACAAGGCCCACAGAGAAGGAGCTAGGTTTCCAAAGCATCGTTCAGCCGAGGGCTCTTGGAGCAGGCACTGCGGAGGGAGGCTGGGATCCTGGCTCCAGGAGGCGCAGGAGGCCGAGTTTACAAACTCCATTCTCTCCAGTCTCAGTGGTCCTAGGAGGCAGAAGAGGCCTGAGCGGGAGTTCCGATGCCCATGGAACTTGATGAGCCTTTCAGACCTTGGAGGCTCATCAGACAGCCTGGACTCTGCAACCAGCTCTGCTGGTGACTCACTGGATGACACTGGGCAAATGGCTTATTAACCTCCCTGTGTCTCCGTTGTTTCCTCATCTATAAGATGGGGCAATACTCGAACCTACCTCGTGGGATTTCTGTGAGCATTAAGGAAACTGGTACTAGTGTATCGGTTGGCACCTGCTGAGAACGGGATACAGGTTAGAGATTGTGTTACTTCAAGTGCCTGGGACTGGAGGAGACCTTTGAAGTCCCTTTGAGTGGTGACAGTCACTGATTGTCTGATTATGGTGTGGTTTGGGCGGGGGTGGGGGAAACCCAGAAGGTGTGAATTGTTGAGTGGGAGAAGTGGAGGCGGCTGGCAGTGAGGAAGGAGGACACAGGGGTCCTGTGGCATGCAGCCACGCCTCTGCTGCGCCCAGCCTGCCCATTGGGAAATTCCCTCCCAGGAACACATCGGTGGTTGACACAGACAGTTTGGGCCACCTTAGGAGTCAGGACAGCCTGGGGTTTGGGACTCCAAGCCTTTCCCTGGCTCTCTGCCTTCTGCCAGAACTTAAGAAGCCAGATGGAAACTTCTGTTCGTCTCCTTGCTTTTTATCCCTTGATCCTGCCTTAATTCTGAGAAAGAGATTTCTGTGCAAGACGTATACACAGAACTACCACAGACCTCTCACGATAAGCCCGAAAGTGTAAACCAAGAGAAGAAAGGGAAGGAAACCAAGTCATTCTCCTGCAGTAATTAGGGCTGACGTCCCCACCCTGCCGGACGCAGCACCCCTTCTTACAGAAGATTTTTGCAACATGCCCTCTACCAACGTACAGCTGAAATGTGCATGATATCGTCATGATCTATTCACCTACATGCATTCTCAAAATCGATATAATTCCATAACTAATGGAGAGAAAAAGGAAAAGTAACTTTATCACAATGTATCTATTTGAATATGTAAATGTTGGGGCAAGCTGACAGACATTGTGGGGTGGATCGATGTTTGCACCTCTAGCGGAAGCCCCGTGACCCCCAAGCCGACAGGCCAGGTGTACGTGACTCAAAGTCTGAAAGTGGCACCGTCGCCAGGGACACGATTTGCTGAAGGTGTGAGAAATTTTTGGCAAAACTCTGAGCAAAATTTTTTTGAAACAATTAAGAACTATCTTCCCTTCTGGAAAATTCAGTAGATATTAAAAGAGTGCAAAAACTTCTGTTTTGTGTAAAACTGAGTTAGGCTCGTGGCTTAGAGACTCTCTGTAAGCAGGTTTTCACACACAGGAAGAGTGAATAATCCATTGCCCTGTGCAGTGCTAGACAGTTGTATCTCCCCTACCCACCACATCCCGCCTCTTGAGGACCACGCACCATGAACTCCCAAAATGGCCGCTAGTCAAAGCTGTGGTTTTTCCAGTGGTCATGTATGAATGTGAAGGTTGGACTATAAAGAAAGCTGAGAGCTGAAGAATTGATGCTTTTGAACTGTGGTGTTGGAGAAGGCTCTTGAGAGTCCCTTGGACTGCAAGGAGATCCAACCAGTCCATCCTAAAGGAGATCAGTCCTGAATATTTGTTGGAAGGACTGATACTGAAGCTGAAACTTCCAGTACTTTGGCCACCTGATGGGAAGAACTGACTCACTGGAAAAGACCTTCATGCTAGAAAAGACTGAAGGTAGAAGGAGAAAGGGGATGACAGAGGATGAGATGGTTGGATGGCATCACTGACTCAATGGGCATGAGTTTGAGTACACTTTGGGAGTGGGTGATGGACAGGGAGGCCTGGCATGCTGATGTCCCTGGGGTCACAAAGAGTCGGACACGACTGACCGACTGAACTGAACTGAACTGAGGAGGGGGCCACTGGGCTAGGTGAAGATGAAAAGAACTGAACCGTTATGAATTGGTTAAAAAGAAACCTCAGTGTGTGGAGAGAAATTTGGAATGCGATCGTGGGCACAGGTTTAGGGGGACCACTGGTGGGGGAGGAGTAGATGGCTTCTTGGTCGACCCTGAACAAATCCAGAGGCCCCCAGAGATGAGTCCTCCCCCTGTCCATGAAGCCCCAGGGGCGGGGACTTGTTCCACAGGAACCCAGGCCTAGAGGGACAGAGACTTGCCCAGGACCTCATTGCCAGACCCCGCCATGTGCTGCTCCATCCAGCGACCGAAACCCGGGTCCTTCGGCAAAGTCTGGGGGCCGTTCTCAGCCCCATGGAGCAGCAGTTTCCAGACTAGGACCCCCCCCCCCCCCCCCCCCCTTCCAAGGCTGCCTGCCTGCTCCTCGGAATTGCGCCTTGATGTGCAAGTGAGCCTGGCATTCCTGCACAAAGTCCTCTGGCTTCCTGCCCTTAAGAGATGGCTGGATGGGTTCGCTGCCAGGCAGAGAGAGAGGCAAGGGGCGCTCTGGGAGACGGCTTCCCCCACCTCTGGTTCACAGTGGTGGGGGGCAGCCTCCTGTGGCACCTGACGCCTGGCCCCCTCCTCCCACCCGTGCTCCCAGGTCCCAGCTCCTCCCTTCATCCCTCCTCCCTCCTTCCTCTCTGTGGGTACCTGGGAGGGGTGGTGTCAGGCCTGGAAACTGGGAGGAAGCTGTTGAGGTGGGCTGGTGACCTCAGTGATGGCCTGTGGTTTGCTGCCTAGTGGGGTGGAGTTTCTCACACTCGAGGAGTAGATGCTTAGGGTCGGTGTGGCGGGGGCAGGTTCCAGTAAGTGCTGACTTTTCTGGGTTCCACTTGGTTATCGTGGGACCTAGCCAACTCATTGCCCTGCTGTGAGCCTCAGTTTTCTCATCTGTAAAATGGGAGCAGTAACTTTTGCCCTTAGTTCATTCCACAAGCATTTATTGAGCATGCGCTATGTGCCAGATGCTGTCCTAGGGGCTGGGGACAGAGCAATGAAGAAGACAAAAATTCTGGCCCCCACAGAGCATATCATCTAGTTGTTCAGTCGCTCAGTTGTGTCTGGCTCTTTGTGACCCCATGGACTGCAGCACGCCAGGCTTCCCTGTCCTTCACTATCTCCCAGAGTTTGCTCATGCTCCTGTCCATTGAGTTGATGATGCCTTTCGACCATCTCATCTAGTAGAGGGAGACAAAATAAATAAGTAGATGGATTATTAGCAGTAATAAGCCTTATGAGGAAATTCAAGCCTAGCATGTGGAAGTGGGAAGGTCTATGATGCTTCAGAGTGAGCTTCTTAATCTTTCTTCGCTCCAGGAACCCCTTTAACAGTCTCAGAATAGTGTTTTTCAACCTAGAGGGGTGGGACGGAGCAGGAGGCGGGAGGGAAGTTCAAGAGGGAGGGGACACATGTATACCTACGGCTGATCCATGTTGATGTTTTTACACAATAGTGCAAAGCAATTATCCTCTAATTAAAAATAAGTTTTTTAAAAAGTGGATCACCATGAAAAAAAAGTAGGAATGAAATAAAATGCAAAGGATGGTAATGAAAGCCAATTATATTAAAACATAGTTAGCAAAACATTTTTTTTAATGTGATAAATATGCTGCTTTGTTAGCGTGTTAAATAGCAAGATCTAGCAATGGTTTGATGATGACTGTGACTTTGAAATTGTGACGAGCACAAAAGATATTTAAAGAAATCTGCGCGATCTGTAATGTGATATGTTAATATCTGTGACGTCTGTTGGCGACAAGGTCACGGAGACTGCTGTCATGCCTCTGTGATTTGTTGCATACGTTCATCCTTCAGAGAGATGCTACATTTCAGGTCGAGGCTAGGGAAGATACAGTTGTTGTCCTTCTCTTGTTTGTTTTTTTTTTTTTTTTCTATCCTCAAGCCCGCTCAATTCTCAGAGGCATGCCAAGATAAAAATGCCTCCTTTAGATAAAGTGACCCGGGAGGAGCTCCTTGGGAAGGTGACTTTAAAGTGATGACCTGAAGGAAGTGAGGCTAAAAACAGAGGGCTTCAGTGAGCTGGCAAGTGCAGGGACCCCGCGGCCCATCAGCTCTGGGCTGGCCATCTAAACCACCCTGCGGTACCAGGGAGGTGATGGAGGGGTCAGAAGCCCGGGGACCTCTGGAGAGTGCGCGACTGGCTGGGGAGAGGGTCCAGCAGGGAACGGACCTCAGAATGAGAGGAACCAGTAGTGGGGTAGAAGGGTCCCTGAGTGGGCAGAGAGCCTGAGGCCAAGAGACTTTCTGCACACTCTGTTTCCAGAAGCCAGGGAAAGTGCCCCTGTGGTCTGAGAGTGAGGGGCCAGGCTGGTTTCTCTGGCCCAGAACGCCAGGTCAGATGCAGGTGCATTTCCATCCCTGCCTCCAGCTGCCAGCTCTGGAAAATTCCTCAAGTGAGGCCCCACTCTGCCCCAGTTCGAGTCACACCTCAATTTAAACCACCACCCTTCCCCTGCTCCCTCCCACACGCAGATACTCTCTCCCAGGCTCAGAAGCCCCCGTTGGTGTGGCCCCAAGCAGCCTGGCTGATTTTCTTTTTTTTTTAATTTTTATCTGAGTATCTTTGCTTTTAGGGGCTTCCCTGGTTGCGACTCCTGGGGCGCAGAAAGTCGGACAGGACTGAGCGACTGAACTGAACTGGTGACTCAGACAGGAAAGAATCTGCCTGCAGTGCAGGAGACCCGGGTTCGATCCCTGGGTGGGGAAGATCCCCTGGAGAAGAGAATGGCCACCCACTCCAGGATTCTTGCCTGAAAGATCCCGTGGATGGGGAGCCTGGTGGGCTATAGTCCATGGCATCACAGAGTCAGACACGATTGAGCTACTAACACACATGTAATTGCTTTACGGTGCTGCGTTAGTTTCTGCCGCAGAGCAAAGTGAATCAGCTCTATGTGTACAGATATCCCTCTTTTTTTTTAAAATTTCCTTTCCATTTAGGTCACCGCAGAGCATTGAGTAGACTTCCCTGTCTGTACAGCAGGTTCTCATTATTCTGTCCTGTTTTATGCATACAGTGTATACATGCCAGTCATAATCCCCCGGTGCATCTGCATCCCGCCCACTCTTCCCCCGCCGTGTCCATACATTTCTTCTCCTCGTCTGTGTCTCTGTGTCTGCGTTGCGAATAGGCTCACCTGTGTCATTTGTCTAGATTTCACATATATGTGCTAATGTACGCTGTTTGTTTTTCTCTCTCTGACTTACTTCAGTCTCTGCGACAGTCTCTAGGTCCATCCGTGTCTCTGCAAACGGCCCGGTTTTGTTCCTTTTTATGGCTGTTTTCTTTTGCTCTGGGTTGCTCTGTTTCTGGGGCTGGAATTTCCACTCCCATCACTAGATCATCAGGTACCAGCCACGCTAAGCTAGCTATTGGTCCCTCCCCCCAGCACACACCCCTCCAACTTTTGTCTCCCACCCGTGTGGTGGGAATATGGAATTGGGTCTGCCTGTCTGGGATGGGTGTTGAGAGTACGAGGACAGCCCTGGGGGACACGGGTGCACAGAGCCGTCGGCCCCTGCCCTTGGGGAGTCCCCAGGCCCGTAACTGGGGACCAGAGGTAGGGGTGCTCAGAGGCAAAGCAGAAGGAGGCCAGTTTGACTTGGGGATCAGTGATGCTCGCCGCCCCCCCCCCCCCCCCCCCCCCCCCCCCCATATATCGTGGAGACTTTGATGACAATAGAGAGCAGGGCAGGAAAGGAGACTCCGACTTCAGGAAAATCGGGTTGCCCTTTGAGGAAAAACTTTACCTTCTACCAGGCCACCCAGTAAATCCCTAGAAGAATCAAAGAACAACGTAGGAGGTAGAGAGGATGATATTGATCGAAGGCACCCTTTATCTGCTTGTTCCACGGGGAAACCTCCCCAAACATGAAAAGACAGGAGCAGTCACAAATCAAGAGGTAGAACTGAAAATGCAAATCAGCTCGGAGTCAGAAAGTGAAATGTAAGGGCCAGTGAAGTGGGAAGCCGATTGCCACAAACAGGACAAGGAAAGTGTTAACAAGCTTGCTAGAGAGTGGTGGTTTTTTTTTAAGGCATTAAAACCTTAAAACTTTGGAACACCAGGAAGCAGTCATTTGTGTTGGATGAGGACAGATGATAAACATATAAAATGTTTCAGTCTCAGTGATAATAGAAGAAAGGTGTTGAAGCTTAGAGCGTTTCAGAGATCTTCTACCTTGATAGACTTGGTCATGAAGATGCTGACAGCATCACAGTAGACCCGGCCCCGCACCGATCACAATGCTTCTCTCTGGAGAGTCATCTCAGTAGAGAGATCAGCGCCCCTGAATCTATCTCAGCCCTCTGATGCAATAAAATCATTCACCGCTGCCTGGAACCTAGGCCAAGGAAATAAGCAGAGGTGTAGACAAAGATTTTTATAAACAGAAGGTCATTTTCCTTTTATTTTAAACGGTAACACAAAAATGATGATTTTGGACGTTTTTTTTTTTCCTCCTCAGGAATTTTGAATGGAGACTTTGGGGCCAAATGTTTATCTAAAAATAGAACAGAGTTCTGGAAATAACAGTTGTGTCTACAAATGAAATGTCTAGCTCCCAAATCAGTCCTTTTTCAAGCTGCAGTTGCACACGCCAGTAAGAAATGAGCAGCAGCATAAATACCCAAGATAAGGAGATGGATAAATAAAAGATGAGGCTTCCATGAGTGGAAATATTTTGCAGCCATTAAAAATGAAGTTTATGAAGAATTTTTAATGACATAAGTGCTCATGATGTGATGTTAAGTGAACAGGACAAAAAAAAAAGAGGGTATGGAAATATTTACTTCATTGTCATTTTTACAACTGTGTAAAAACATACACTCGCCCGAAAAGGGTTGCAGGAGAGAAACCCCAAATGTCAGTAATAGTGTTTCTCTCTGGCTAGTGGAACTGTGGGTGATTTTCTTCTTCTTTTTTTATATTTTCTGTATTCTCAAAATTTTCTCTAAAGGTTACAAATTATTTTCAGGAAAAAATATATACCGATCCTAGCCCCCATCCCAAAATCCTGAGTGTCTCTGAGGAACAGCACAAAGGCCAAAAAACAGGGTGGCCAGGGTGGCCAGAACACAGGGTCGGGGGAGTGTGATCAAATGGGTACCAGACTTCGGGGGGACCTTGGATGCCAAGCCCAGCAGCCTGAATTTCACCCAGAGCCCTCTCTTCTGCCCCGGGGTCAAAGGAGAGAGACCCGGCCCTTCTGGAAGATGAGGGCTTCGGGCTGTTGTGAATAGCTTCCTGGTGCCAACCTCCTGCCTTTATTCCCCCCCAGGTAAGAGTTTCACGCTGACCATCACCGTGTTCACCAACCCCACGCAAGTGGCCACCTACCACCGCGCCATCAAGGTGACCGTGGATGGACCCCGGGAGCCCAGACGTAAGTGCCAAAGCCACCGGACCAACTGGGCGGGGGAGGGGGGCCCAGCGGGGTCAGCAGGGTCAGGCAGAGGGCGCTGGATCCCTGGAGCCATGGGGACTGCAGTTCTTGCGCACAGCGCTCGCAGCGGCCTCCCTGCGCTGTACCTGTGCTTAGCCTGGGGCTGGAGGAAGCCAGGCTGCAAAGGGGAGGTGACGGATCAGCTTGACCTCCACCCTGCCACCCCGAGGGTTGACTGCCCACTGAGGGGGCGACGGGGGAATGTGGAAAGGAAAGGATGGAAAAGACTGCAGAGAGGGCGGCGTGTGTTTGGGGCAGAGATGGGGCAGGTTGGCTTGACTCCACCCCAGCTTCCTCTGACAGTGTGGGAGGGAGGGAGCACCCAAAGCAGGTGCTGCTCAGGGTACGAGGCCACATCCCCCCCTCGGAAACCCTTCCTTTGAATCTGTGTGACTTAAGTCTCACAGAGCCCAGATACTCTGACCCCAGGGCCCACCTCGAGAGATCAGGAATGCAGGTCTGCTTCTGTTTATTGAGCACATATTCTGTGCAGGGAGCAGGTCATCTATGCATTTTAGCATCAAAGAGGGTTTCTGTTTTGTTGCTTCTGCCTGCTGGATGACCCAGAGTTTCAGATTCAGATTAGGGAAACCAGAGGGGCAGCTGCCACTGTGGGCCAGAGACCTGTGTTTCCTGAATGAATGAGGGAATGAATAAATGAATGAAACAAGCAGCCAGTCATCTCTGGTTGCTTCTTGAACTCAGAGCAGAGTGCTTATGTGGACTGGCTCCGACCTGTAGCATGATCGATGTGTTGAGAGTTGCCATGTCCTTGTCTTTGTCGCCATGGCCCTTTACAGTTTAGAAAACCCTCTCTCATTTCTTGTCTTATGGGATCCTGAACCAGAGGGTCACTGGGTTCCCAGGAGGAGGAATCCAGCCCTGGGGATGTTGAGAACCTGGCCAGGGCCTCACGCTGTCTCAGGTGTAGGAAGGTGCCCAGTCTTCCCAGCAATAGCTTTCAGTTCCAATTCCAGGGCTGAGTGGGCCTGAGGAAGGAGGCTGGCAAGGGCTATGGCTGTGCGAGGGCACCATCAGTGAGGACCACCCAGGCCTGGCCCTGGGCCCCTGTCTCTTTTGGGGAGTCAGGCCTGGCCCCCCATCTGTCCAGCCCACACTAGCACCTGGCCACTGGAGAAGGGCTCAGAGCAGGGTCTTGCAGCCCTGGAAGTGTTTCCCTGCAGGCTTCTCAAGGCCACCTCCTCCACAGCCCCCTAGGCTCCTGATCACGGTCATCAGGCCCAAGTGATTCACCTCCCATCTGGCACCTGCCCTGGTACCTTCCTGCTGGTTCCTTCCTGCAGGGATTAGATGTGGACGGGCCCATGACTGTGACCTTGGGCTTTGTGACTCGAGAGAAGTCTTGTCTCATTTTTGGTCTCGGTTTTGTCATCTGTGAACCAGGTCAGTGACCCCAAGAGTCTCAAGGCGGTGATGGCTGGGAAGCCCTTGTAAGCCACAGGTGCATAGTACAGAGAGCAGATTCTGACCCAGCTTGCCTGGCCGGGGGACCTTGGGGCAGTCCTTGACTTCTCTGTGCCTCAGCTGCCTCCTCCAGGAAGTGGGATGATACCTCCCAGCCTGCCGGCCAGTGATAGCATGTGGATAGTATCTGGCTGTAGCAGAGGGAGGGTCCTTGTGAGTCTCTGGATCCCTGGTGTTCTGTTAATCCTTGTTGTCTGGCTTCCCCTATACTCCCACCACCACCACCACTGGTCGATGGTGACCTTTCTTGGTCAGCAACAGGGGGGCTGCTGAGAAACCCAGGTCATAGTAGTGGAGGTATTGAGTCTCTGATGAAGGAGGTGCTGTTTTACTGTAAGTCTCCAGGGGCCGAATCAGGATGAATGGGGGCCCCAGTTGGGCTCAGTGTGATGCTGAGCACTAAGGGGCCACTCCAGAAAGCGGCGAGCTTCCCGTGCATAGAGGCAGGCGGGCAGGGGACTTGGAGCTTGGTGGGAAGGCTCCCAGGACCCAGCCAATGCCTGGATCCCTCAGATTCCAGAAGGGTCCAATGCTTGGACCCTCTGTGTTCAGCCCTGCCCAGCACAGAGCTCCCCATCGTCCCTGTTTGAGGCCACTGGATGAGGGTGGAAGCTCAGCTCTCTGCCCCCAGTCGAGTCCTTGTCTGCCCATCTCTCCCTAGGTCTCCCACACCTGAGATGGCCCCTTCCTGGGGTGAGCTGGTCGGGGCAGGGATGGCATAGTTGGAGGCAGCAAGAGGAAGGGAATGAAGTTGGGCTTTCAAAGACCCTGGAGTCAGAAGCAAGTCAGTGTGGGCCAGATCAGTGCTTTTAAAGCAGTTTCTTGAAACAGAATCTTGGTTGTTGTTCAGACGCTAAGTCATATCCGACTCTTTGCAACCCCATGGACTGCAGCACACGCCAGGCTTCCCTGTCCTTCACTGTCTCCAGGAGTTTGCACAGACACATGTCCATTGAGTTGGTGATGGCATCCAACCGTGTCATCCTCTGCCGCCCTCTGATCTTAGCAGACGCTCGTTTGTAGAAAAGGGTGGATGTGGGAGGCGGCCCTCCTGGTCTCCCTTCAGAGCACCTGTTTGCTCCTCCCCTCTGCCCGGCCCTGGGAGCAGGTCTCCCCAGAACCCCTGGTTCCAGCCCCAACCTGGCCTGCACTCTGCCACCTTTGGACACTGCCATCTCCTTTCTCAGCTTCCATTTCACCACCTATAAGCGGTCAGAGGCCAGCTCAGCTAGCTGCGTTTGGTCAGTAAGCACTCCCGGGGTGCCGGGCCCTTTGCAGAGTCCCTCTTTTTGTGGGGGAGCCGCACTGTGCGCCACGTAGGATCTGAGTTCCCAGATTAGGGGTCAAACTTGTGCCCCCCTGCAGTGGAAATGTCTTAACCACTGGACTGCCAGAGAAGCCCCCGGAGTCTCTTAATTGATCCTCAACAACCCCAGAAGGAGACAGGCGGGCAGACAAAGCCGCTTGCCCCAGGGCGAGCTTTGGTACACCCTTGGTGCTCCAGCCTGGGGCCCCGGGAAGCCAGGGCCGCGTGGAAGGGCCTTCCACGCTCAGGGTGCTCATCTGTAAGGCGGGGATGGCATCAGCTCGTGCTGTGGGGAGCTGTGGGTGTTCCTTGAGTCTGTCGCTGACTGGCCCTCAAGACTCTCCTGGTGGATGTTCGCTGGGTTTTCCTTCTGGGCTTTTCTCCTGCTTCGGGACCGCCCCCCACCCCTGCAACCCCATGTGAGGGCTGAGCCTTCTGTGGGGGGTAATGGGAGTCGAGGCTGGTCCCGGGAGCCAGGGAGCGGGCGCCTTGCAGCGCCCCGAGTCCTGGCTGTGGGTTCTGTGGCTGGGTCGTTCCCCTCCGCTGCCCTGCAGAGCGTGCCCAGTCTGCAGCCAGGTGGCCGGCTGGGTTTGATGGGCTGGCTTGGTGGCTTCCTGCCTGTGTGGCCTTGGTTTCCGAGGTTCTCGGGGCTGGTGTCCCTCAGTCACCAGGGGCTGGTTAAGAAGCAGGTGGAACAGGATCCAGAGGCATGCTGGCAGGCGGATTAGTGATTGAGCGGGCCTGGGCTGGACCAGAGTTTGGGAACCGCTCACCCCGTCTCCCAGGCTCAGCGGTGGTGTACTTGGGAGGGCTTCCTTGGTGGCTGAGACCGTAAAGAACCTGCCTGCAATGCAGGAGACCCGGGTTTTATCCCTGGATCAGGAAGATCCCCAGGAGAAGGAAACGGCTACCCACTCCAGTATTCTTGCCTGGGAAATCCCAAGAACAGAGGAGCCTGGCGGGCTACAGTCCACGGGGTCACAAAGCGTGGACACGACTGAGCAACACATACCTGGGAGGGTGGGGCGCAGGTTCACTGAGGCACGGGCCCATCTCGCCCTTAAGGGGGAATGTCTTTTCTTCCCCAAAATATACATGGGATGATTTCAACAAATACTACTTTCCTGGGTCCCAACCATGTATCAGGCATTGTTCTAGAAACTGAGGAGGCTGCGTTGAACCCAGCAGACCAGGTTCTGGCCCTCCTGGGTCTCACATGCTCAGGGTGGGGAGAGATGGTAAGTCATGCTGCTCTCACCATGGCCGGGAGGTCCCAGTCTGATGTGTGACCGGGACCCCTCCACCCTCCTCTCCTCCACCTTCCTCTTTGCTTACCCCACCCTGGCCGCCCTGGCCTGCTGACCCGTTGTTGAAGGAGGCAGCTTCACGCTCCGGCCTCTTGGCCTTTGCCCTGCTGTTCCCTCTACCTGGGCATGCCTCTCCCGACACCCCCTGGACGCACAGACATCCCCATCCCCCTAAACTCCCTGGCTTTCGTTTTACTTGTCACCTTCTAAAATGCTATATAGCTCACTCATATATTTCACCTATTTTTCATTTTCCCTGATAACTGTCTGTGTGCCCCCCAACCCTGGGCAGGCAGTGGGGGGGTCCTTTGCTTTGCCAGACATTGTTGTATACCCTGGAACACAGACATGAGCACATCGTAGGTGTTCAGTAGATACTTGTTGAATGAATGAACGAGGTAAAACAAATGATCAGCTAGTTCCGACTTCTGGTAGTTAGAAGTCTGGCGGAGAAAACTGAAGCTGGGGGAGGGGTGGAGCGAGCAGGGCTGGGACCCACAGGGAAGTCACCTCCTGAAGGGGTGACATTGGAGCAGAGGCCTGAAGGAGGTGAGCAGACAGCCACGGGGGCGGCTGGGAGCTGGAGACAGCGAGGGCAGGTCAAGTGACCCTGAGCCGGCCGCCAACCTCAGGTCGCCACAGTTCCGTCCTCCGCTCCAGGTGTGGGCACCGGAGGGGTGCCCGGCTGAAGGAGAGGCAGCTGCTCCCAGCCCCTGGCTCCCAGGACGCACCCCCCACCCACCCCCAGGGAGTGCAGCCAGCGGGCGGGAAGGGGTTAACCTCAGACCTCCGGGGCTCCCCCCTAATCAGGCCCAGGCCGCTGGAAGCCCCGCTTGTGGCCC